GAAGCTGTGCCCGGCGCTTCTTTGCAAGGCTGTGGGCAGACAGGGCGTTTGCAGGGCCTCTTGGATTAGCAGATGGCGTGAGGAGCATGATGCTGGCTTGAGCAACGCGCGGAGGCGTTGGGCCCAACCGGCTTCATTTTGGCGCCCAGAACTTGGTGGCAAGTCTCGAGCTTGCTACTTGAAATTGCAGCCGCAGCACTGCCGGACAGTGTTGCTGGCCGCAGTGCTGCTGGGAATGCAAAAAGCAGACTGCGCGCTGTGAATTGAGAGCGCAGCATCGGCGCTGCTCCGATGGCAGTGATTTGCAATGACCTTGCCGTTGGCAAGTGGCCATGGGTCAAAATCCTGTAATTGCAGTGAACATCCCAACCCCCACTAAAATAGACTAAACTTAGTGGTGCACCTGCCCCAAAGCCAGCCAAGGGCTGATACTCTTCTTGGTGCGCTCGCGCACCTAAGAGTTCCATCCTTGTTTTTCTCCTTACACGAGGCTGCTTGGAAGGAGGTTTGCGTAGGCTGCCTGGAGTAGCATTAGATGGCATCGTGAGGAGCATCACGTTGCCTTGGCGAGAGCAAAGCACGGAGCCGTTGGACAAAAATCACAGCTTGGCTGAGCCCAGAACTTTGTCGAGTCGCAACTTGGGACAACTTCTGCGGGCAGGCAGTACCGCTGGCATGCGCATGCGCTCACACCTCGTGAGGCGCACGATTGCAGCGGCGGCGCCGCAGCTTCCCGCCCGGAGACACTTGGAGGCTTCCAGGAGGATGGTGAGATGGCGTCACGAGAGGCGTCATATTCTTACATCCCGAGTTCCTACTTGATGAACTTGTTTGAAAGAGCATGTCAGTCGCAAACTCAACAGTTCGATTGTTTTTGCCAATTTACTCGATCAGAAGTGAGCGGTTGTTGTGATTGGATCAACCACCGAGCGCTGGGCCCAAGCGCTGGCAAGCGGCAACTTGAGACGGCTGTGGACAGACAGCGCTGCCGGCCTGTGCATGCGCTGGCAACTTGCGAGTGTGGACTTTTAAATTTTAGACACTTTGCGTGGAGACCATTTGAGTTGCAAACAAACAGTTTGGGCTGTGTCAGTCAACTCAGGAAATGAGCAAATGAGCGGGCGCTCCTTTTTTGGCGGTTCCGTGCAGGCTGGGTCGAGTGTTTGCCTCTCGGTCTCAAAGTAAGTCGCGAGCTGCCCGCCTTCAGAAGGCTGAAAAAAAGTCGACCGGGCCTGGCCTGGCCAAGCAGATGCGACGGGCGTAGGCGCTCCGATGGCACTTGGGTAAACTTAGGATACATTTTACATTTTACCGGGGACTCAAAGTGAAGCAAACAATAAGATATACATTCTATAACTGGGCCTAACTCTGATCATGGGCAGTGATTTATTTGGACACCGACCTGGCTGCGCTCAGAACTTTGCTGTGACGTGAGACTCACCTCCGCGCTCGCGCACGCCAACAGCGCTGCCTGTCCTTTCAAACCCTCGTTTGGGTTGTCTGCCAGGAGTGGCATTAGATCGCATCATAAGAAGCGTGAGTCATTTTGCCGTGAATCTGCAAAGCACGGAGCCGTCTGACCCAAACAGCTTGGCTGTGTCCAGAACTTTGCGGCAAATCGCAACTGGAGACTGCAGCGATCAAAACACATCAAAACACAATGAAGAAACTTTGTCTTGGGGTGCCAGGATGGGATCCTGCGGAAGGAACGGTTCATGGTGCGGAAGCTCGCGGAATCTCCCGCAGAGCACGTTGTTCTTCGTTTTGCCGCGGAAGGCCACGGAAGCTTTCATGTTCTTTTAAAGCGTGCTCGGCCGTTTTGGCTTGACGAACCCAACAACTGCTTTTTGTGTGAGCTCCACAAATCGCAGATCCTTTGCCGCCAGGGAAAAAAGGGGGCCCTATCCAAAAGCGAATTGTTTGAGCCGAGCAAATGGCTCCCCAAGTTTGCAAAACCTTCGAGAGTTTGATTCCTCCATTCAGAAAGCGGGGCGCTAAGCAAACACCGGTTGGCAAATGGCTCCTCCCACGTTCAAAAAGCCGGTTGGTGCAGCTTGGGGCCTGGCAAGAATATGCGAGAATAAACTTGGTGGTGCCAGCCGTCCGGCTCATTAGGTTTTTAAGTGTGTCAGGGTTTAGTGGTAGTTTTCTCGTTTAACCCGCTAAAAGTGAGAAGCTTTCGGGGGCTATGAGGACAGCCCAGTAAATTGATGCTGCGGCTTTCTCTGTGTATGGACCAGTCCCGCCAGCACGCGTTTTCATTTATGGCCACGTGTGTGCGGTGCTATTCTGGCAAGCAGAGCATTCCGTTGATCGACCGAACCCCCGAAAAATGTGGGACTGTGCAGAAGCGGCCGAAGGGCTGCCGGGCTCATATGGGCCATGAGTTTTCTTTGACAGGGAGCCGACTCATTTGTGGATTCATGAATCCCCACCTGATCTTTGGTGCATTTTTTGCTTGGATGTTCGGACTTCCATTAAACCACTTCAAAGTTAAACTTTTAGCAGGGGAGCAGAAAGCAACCGAGTGATGTCCACCAAAGGGGCGCTACTTGAAACTCATGGACGCATGCCCAGATTCGGACGCTGTGCCCCTTTTGTTGGTCGCCACTCGGTGAGTTTTTTTTCAGACGCAGCTGGCCACAGCTGGTGTCGCGTAAGGAAACCAGAGGCGTGCTTTGAAGTGAGAGGCCGGCGTTGTTCCGACGGCGGTGACTTGCAGTGACCTAGCGGCCAATCGGCTGAGCGATCAAGGCTGAGACATTCAGCGCTCGCACACCTAACAATCACATCCTTTGCTTGCTGCTTACATAACAGGGCTCCTTAAAAGATACATGTTGCCCATTTGAAACAGGCTTTTCCAGGTAAACCAGCATTTACAAGGCAATGTTCAGGTGTATGATGTAAGGATCCCTGCATAAGACTGCTTGGAAGGAGGTTTGCGTAGGCTGATTGGAGTAGCATTACATGGCAGCATGAGGAGCATCATATTGCCTTGGCTTGAGCAAAGCACGGAGCCGTTGGACCCAACCTGCGCGGCTGTGCCCAGAACTTTGTTGCCAGCAACTTGAGATGGCTGCTGAAGCGGGCAGGCTGCACACTGACTGCTGGCCTGCGCGTGCGCTCAGAACTTGTGAGTTGCAGAATTGCCTCGGGGTGTCAGCGGCACCGCAACTTTCCTGCCCTCGCCATCTGAAGGCTTGCACGCTGTCGGATTTAAGTTTCATGATGCAGTCTTGGCGCTAGCGTTGGCTTCAGTCGCTGGCAGCGCATCAAAGTAGCTAGCAAGACATTGCTGGAGATGGGATATGCGCAGGATTGCAGGAGAACTGGTAGATGAGATCGCCAGGCGTCACTTTGGCTTTGAGCAAAGCACAGACTGCTGGACCCAACCAGCTCGGCTGTGCCCGGCAGTGGCATGCTTCAGCTTGAGGCTGCTGCTACGGGCAGACAGTACAGCTGGCCTGCAAATGTGCCTTTTGAGTTGGATTGCCTTGCAGCACCAGCAGCGCCGCTGCCTTCCTGCCCGGAACGCGCCTTCAAGGCCGGAGCGCTTCCCATTTAAGTTTCATGCTCCGTGCTTGAGTGGATGGCTGCGCATCAAAGTTGCGGCAAGAAGCTGATTGGAATCAGGTATGCCGAGCCTTGCCGGAGTCAGATGACATCACAAGGGCATCATACTTGTTGTACTTAGGGAGGGCGGAGGTGCCGACGGCCAGCCAAGTGGTTGCCAAGACTCATACCCATCTTGGAGCGCGCGCGCCTCAGAGTCTTTGCTTTTTTTCTTTGTACGAGGCTGCTTGCAAGGAGCTGTGCGTCGGGCTGCATTTGGTAGCATTGGACGGTGTTTTTGCCAATGGCAGGTTGCCTTGGCCAGCTTTTTCGGCGCGGCCGGGCAAGCTGCAAATTTGGAGCGCGGACATGGATGTAAAGTTCATGATGCAGTCTTGGCCAGCGGTTGCTTCCGTCACTGGCTGCGCATCAAAGTAGCTAGCAAGACATTGCTGGAGATGGGATATGCGCAGGATTGCAGAGGAACTGTTAGCTGACATCACCAGGCGTCGCTTTGGCTTTGAGGAAAGCACAGACCGCTGGACCCAACCAGCTTGAGTTGGATTGCCTTGCAGCACCAGCAGCGCCGCTGCCTTCCTGCCCGGAACGCGCCTTCAAGGCTGGAGCGCACTGGTTAAACGCGGCAATGTGTCTCCGTGCCCCCAAAGGGAGTGGGTGTAGCCCGAGAAGAATTGATCCCCGTTGCCCCATGGCCTTGGAAAGCCTTTCACGACTTTCTGTGAGGCACTTTCATGTACACCAGGCTTTCCTGGTCTTGTTCCTCAAAATGGCCTGTGTCCCATGAGTAAATTGAGAGCACGCGTTGATTTCCCAGCCCGGTGCCGGAGATGCCGCAAGCGAAGTGGCCGCGGAGGTGCTTGCAGCTTTTAGAACCAGATGTTTTGTTGCCTCCAGTTTTGGCTGGGCGATGAGTGTGGCTTGTAGTCGTACGTGTTGTGTGCAGACAGATGCTGCAGATGGCTGGTAGTGGTAAGTGTTGGTTGTGTGCAGATGCTGCTTCCTTTCAGAAGCCGGCAATCCCTTCATGCTCTCTCGACGAATCAGTCAGACAGAAGCCAAAGTGGACGGTCTGTTGCGTCGAAACAGTCTTGGATCCTTGCTTGACAAGATTCAAGGGCACACCCACTAGTGGCAACGCTCGTTGGTGGACTTTCAACCCAGATTGGCTTGTGCCAGGGGTGGCTTTTTTGGTTGCCCAAACAATGCAGTAGGATCACTGGGAAATGCCTTGACTGCTGTTGGGTTGGATCTTTAGACTTTAACTTTTTGGGAAATACAGGCGTTTTCCACTAAACCCCCAAAAAGTTTAACTTTTTGCAGAGGGGTCAACAGCAACCAAGATGCAGCAAGCATATTGGGGCCCCAAATTGGGCTCCGCCGTGGCGATGGTTTTCGGGTCGAAGGAGTTCGACGGTTTCGACCGCCAGGTGGGAGCTGATCTGCCAGGCGGCGCAGGACAATTTGGAGCTGCGAGGGCTGGAGGCGCTGCCATTGAGGCGCGCATAAGAAACGGGGGCCTCGACCGGGGCGAGCTTTTTTTTCTCTTCGCGGGGGGTCGTCGTTTTTTTTTTTTTTTTTTTTTTTTTTTTTTGCGGGGCCCCGTGTGCTATGTCCCTTCCATTTTTGCCGAGGCGGATATTTTTTCGCGTTATTTTCTTTTGTTCGTTTTCCGGGGAGCCGGTTTCGCTGCTGGAAATATATGTTCTTTGATCTGTTTCCAGGGGGCGAAGAAACGCACATTGAAGTCCCCTGTTCAGGCCAGAAGACATCCCCTTTCGGTTGCCACTTTTCTGGGGTCTCCGGAAAATATTTTAAATGTCAGGCTAGATCAGAGTCAAACAAATGTATTTCCTTTGGTGCATTTTGCCAAGGGATTTTAGGACTTTAACGTTTTGATCCAACTAAACTCATGGGTTTTCCGTATTGAACCACTAAAAGTTGGTCACTTTTAGCCGGGCTGAGCAGATTTCGCCACCGAGTTTCTGTTTTCCCCAGAAGGGGGCCAAGTAGATGAGGTTCCTCTGGGGCTACTTTTCCTCTGTGTGTGTGTGCTTTTGTTTTTAAAGGGCCTAGATAGCCAAGTTGCTGCTTTTTTTTGAGTCACTGGTTTTTGGGGTAAAGTGCATGGGAAAAAAAGCGATCGCACCTGGCGATCCAGGGGCGAAAAATATCCCGTGGTGGCCGTCCCTTCTATCCGAAACGGCTTCCCACCCATAGAGGAAGCTCTGCTTGAGAATTGGCCCCGCTGGGGTTCCCTCCGTTCATCTGTTCCATGAGGACTCCAAAAGCTCTTAGAATGACTCCCCTATGGTTTTTGCTCGGTTGGATCTCGAACTGACATATTTTCGGTTGAAACAGAGGTGAGTTCTCCCAGTAAAAAAAGCAAAACGTGAAGCTGCAAATTTGCACAGCGACGAAAGCCACCAGGATGAGCTTCGCTGCATTTGGAGCAGAATCCAAGCGGGTGTTTCTCTAAATTGGGGTTCCCTCGAGGTGGGCGGTGTCCTTTTGGTTCCCTTTTGACACCATCCCAAAAAGGGCTCCCTATGTGGAGACACGCCCAAACACGTCATGTTTAGTTGGGAGCAAACGATCAGGGGGTCGGAGCAGCATGGCGTGTCCAGTTTTGTTCCCCTCAGCTGAGGTTTCCATGTGTTCTCCGCAAATGTTTGCAAGCTCAAGACGTGCTTGATGAAGGTTCTTTACCAGGGGATTCCAGATTGGTTGGTTCCATTCACTTTTGGGGGCCTGCTTTTGGCTTCATGTTGGAACCGCTTCTGCAAAGAGGGGTCCAGACCAAAACGCGAGCTGGCTTTGAATCCCGGTTCGGGGGCAGTCCGCTTCAACCTGCCCGGATGGTTACTCTTGAGGGTGTTCCCCTCAAAGGCAGCAAACCCCGCGCTGGTGCTCTTCTACGACCAGTGCTATCGCCAATGGCTGCGGCTCATCCAGCTTGGCTTCCATGAAGTTGCTGCAGCACAATGCCGACATGCAGGCCATCAAGCAGAAGCTGGAGGTACTGCCGAACAAATCTGAGGAGCTGCAGGCGTTCCTTGGGGCGCCCGACAAAGAGCATCTGTCGCGTCACATCGCCGCCGGCGTATACAGGGAAACCAGGAAAACCTAAAATGATCCGGCTGCCCAAAATGACATTTTGTATCCCTGTTTTCTGGCTGTATACCTTGAAACCAGGAAAACCTAAAACCGCCATTCCGAAAGTCGGATTCCTAGAAAATCCAAGCGCCGAAGCGCAGGCAAGATGACGGCGCCTCACCTGCCCAGCCTGTGGCCAAGTCTCCTTCGAAGCGTTGAAATTCAGCGCTAAAACCAAACGCTCTTTTTTTGGGGGGGGGAGGGAGGCAACATATTCCATGGTTGGCTGCTTCACGGTTGGCTGCTTCCCTGTTTTTTTTTTAGGTTTTCCATTGTTTTTTTTGGTTCTGTTCAATCTCAGTGGGGGGGGGCAGCGAAAAACCAAGTGGAGGGTAGCTTCACTGTGGGGTTTCGGTTCTGTTCGCCCAGATTTTCTTTTGCTGCCATACCAAAAAGGATGTAAAGGCCGGTGAACGATCCGAACCCGCCAATTTCATCGTGGGAGAAGCAACAAAGCCACGCCGCAAGCCCGAGACTCCGAGGCTCCATGCGATCAAGGCGTCAGGTTTGTCTCTTGGGCGCGAAGCGATATGGTGGCTCAAATAAACTAGGTCCCCCAGTAGTGCCCTTTCACCTTTTTTTGGGGGAGGGTTCCCATACTAAAATAGGCTACAGCAAAAAGGGTACCCTCATTGTAACCTCTTTACTGGAGGACCTAGTAAATGTACCTAAATGGCACCTTGGTAAATGCAACCAAAGACTAGAAGCTGCGTAACCCTAGCTCTTTAATTTTGAGCCACACCCATATGTTTTCAGGCTCGGCCGCTTTTGGCAGAGAGAGAGAGAGGCCTGGGCGTGGTGAAGTTTTCCTCGTGAAAGCCTAGGTCCCCCCAGTAGCGCAGTAGTGCCCTTCTACCAACTTTTTTTGGGGTTTTGGGTTCCCCTACTAAAATAGACAAAACAGAAGGAAACCTCGGATACCCTCATTCTGACCTCTCAAATCTGGAGGACCTAGAAGCATACATCCCAGTTGCCCGCAGAGCAGCTTCGGATCCGATGTCCCCAAAAAAGTTGGTACAAGGGCACTGGGGGACCCAAGATGAAAGTTGGGGTTGGTGGATAAAATTTGGGGGGGGGGGTCCCAAGATGAAGCTGCCATAGATCGCCAAGTTGCGATCGCCCGACGATCAAGTGCATGGAAAAGACGGCAACTGGCGATCCAGGACATTCGTGAAGTTATACAAGGCGTTCGTAGTGCCTGATGAAAGGTTGGGAATAGTTGGACTTCATGATACGTAGCAGCAGCTGGTTTCGAGCTCGATTGTCTCTCAAAACCATCAGAAGCGGAATCCCAGCCATCATTTCAACACCATGCGAAAAGGCATGGGCGCCCGCATAGACTCACCTGCTCGCTTGATATCCCCGCCAGGTCCCTTAAACATGGAATTGGGGGAGGGGGTGACCCCTGGAGATCTCCCTTTATGGCAACCCATTTTTCATGGGGAAGCCTAGACACATAGAATCGGGGGTCCCTACCCGCCTCCCCCTTCTGAGAGGGGGGATCGTTTGCTCCAACCTCCATTTGCCTTTGGTGCATTTTTCTTGGATGTTAGGACTTTGACTTTTTGCCAACTAATGGGTTTTCCGTCTAAAAGTTATTCACTTTTAGCCGGGCTTCGCAGAAAGCAGCCGAGTTTCCAAGGTTCGGCCCTCCGAGGGCTGCCTTCGAAGATCTCTGGCGCCAAATGGCGCAGGACCGCGAACGACCGCGAACCGAGCCGTGTCCGATGGACTTTACTTGGTCCTGGTTTCGAGCGAATCCCCCGGTTCAACGGTTTCACGAGCCGTCCCCGAGACTTGACCTGGCGATTCCCAGCTGCCGGCGAGGATTGTTGCCTCAAGCGTGGGCAAGTTTTGTATGGAGACAAACTACCTTTTGCTCAACCAATCCATCAGCCAAGGCGCCAAACTGGACTAAATTGGGATGGTTAATTCTGAATGAAACTGATCTATGTGACCCCCCTCAGCGTTGAAGAATGATCAACCTGATTTGATCGATTGTCACCGCGCCTGATGATACTGTGGGAGGACAGAATGCCTCACCAAATGTTTTTCACTTCGAATGTGTCTTGAAATAGGGGCCCTTAAAAGCTACCAAAAGCGTACCGCGCCTTTAGAAAAAGACGGGAGCCGCGCCCAATATCGGGGGACCGACGTGGTTGTTCCGAAAAAGAACACCAGAGTGTGGCTCGTCTTGAGGGGTGCCCCTTCCTAAGGGGGACCAAAAGAAACCGGCATTTTGGGGTCCCCCCCAAAAAAAACACAAGAAAGAACACAACACAGAAACAAACACAGTAACAAGTGCAACCTTTCTGGGGGAGGATTCCTAACGAGAGCGTGGAAAGAAGGGATTCCTAACGCAGAGCCAAAGGGCAAAGACACCAACACTTAACACTTTTGTTGGCAAGCTTTTTGGTTTCGAATTTTTGGTTCTGTTCATTTTTAATAGGGGGCTGCAAAAAACAGTCAGTTTTTGTTTTTTTTGGTTCATGCTTAGTACGAGGCCGCAAAAATCATTCTGTTTTGCAAGCCCATACCATGGGGCGTAAAGGTACTCAAAAAGGGTGCAATTCTTTTCCGTGGGCATCAACTTGGATTTAACCCTCTAAGAGTTACTTTTAGCAGGGGATCTGAGGACAGCTCAGTTTGGTTTTCCTTTAGATAGCCAAGAGAAGGTCCTCGATTTTATGAAAGACAGACTCATACTGTGGCCGGACGAAATCCATCTCGCACCACCTAAGAAAACCTGGAATGAATCGATTCCCCCAACGTAAATACCAACAAACGGTATGGTTTCCTTCCCATGGTTTCTTAGGTGCGAAATGGATTTCGCAATCCACAGTCGGGGCTAAACCCCGTCTGGGTTTTGAGCCAGTTATACCCCCTACTCCAAATACCTTTTTTTTTCTCCTCAGGGTATGTTTGAGGAAAAAGCTCTCCTGTTTAGTAAAGGGTCGACACCATAGCCTGAAGCAAGTGGGTATTGGTGTGTACCCCCTACTCAAAATACCTGCTTTTTTCAGGTTGTTTTTTCTTCTTCTTTTTTTTAAACCTGGTTTTCCATGGTAAAAACCTCCTTTTTTAGTAGAGGGTCGACATGATACCCTGAAAACAGCTCGGGTATTTGGAGTAGGGGGTAGGGGGTATCTCCACCTCGCGCCGATGGGCTAGGCAGGCGCCGTGGAGTTGCGCCGGCTCTGCCGGCAGTTGGGCCGGGCGCCCGGGCCGGTGGCGCCCCCGATCTCGGGCGCGACGGTTGGCCGACGGTTCGGCCGGAGACGTGGACCACTGCCCAGGTTCCGCGGGGTTCACGTTGGGCCGACGGCTTGGAGCCCTGCCAGTTAACATGGATCGAGAAAAGCATGGCTCACCCAGTGGATCGCAGCATGGCAAGCCTTCGCCATTTGGGCTTTGGTGTAAGGGTAGCAAGCCCTTGGTTACCTATGCGGGAAAATTACTAGGATGGACAGAGCCCTGAACAGTGGCTCCTTTTTGGATTCCATGAATTCCATTCAACCGCCAACATAATTTAGTTGGATTGTGTCATACTCAGTTACCCAAGTGAATGGACCTCTTGTCCTTTTGGTATTCCAAGGTTGGTCCATGTTTAGTCCAGGATCCAACAGGTGATCACCTTTGATTCTGGGTCCGTAAGTCGGCAAGTGGGCCGCTGGTATCTCGGGCACTTCGTCTCTAAGGAAGCAGGGACGTGGTTTGGCGGCTGGCTTCTTTCCTGACCCCGAGGGAGGGTCTAAGACCAAGATCATTTCCACACGTTCCGGGAGCAAACGGGGTACGCTCATAGTGGCTGAACATTCCCATGAAGTCTGTAAGTCCTGGTGATTTGGACTTCAGGACTTCAACTTTTTGGGACGGTTACAGTGGCTAGGTCCAGTAATGCCCTTTGACCAACTTTTTTTGGGGAGGGCTCCCCTACTAAATTAGACAGAAACAAATCGGGTACCAACTTATTCTAACCTCTCAAATCTGGAGGACCTAGGTTACAGTGGCAAAAGTCCTAGGACTTTTTCTGCCCACTCGACTCCAACTCGATTCCGCTCGCCCAGGTCAGTTCCAGAAGTCCTTGTCCGCGCAGCTGGAGGCCTGAGCGGTGCGAGGGACAGAAGCGCAAGGCGGCCTCCGAATGAATCCCAAGCTTTGGAAGTGAAGCCAATGGAATTTGACTGGATCTGGGAAAACCATTTACTAAAATGAATTTTCGGGTGGTTCCATGTTGGTGGACGGAGAATGGTCATCTCTTTCCCATTCATTCCAGGAAAGGGTCTGGCTCTTGACAAGAATGATCTTGTGAATCCTGTCCCGCGGCTGCTTTCCTTTTTGGTGCAAGTGCCTGCGCAAGCCAGGTCATTAGCAAACCCATGCAAGGGTGAAATGATGGATCTAGCCCTTTGTTTGTCCTTAGTTATGTGTGTGTGCGTGTGTGTGTGTTTCTTCGGATGTGTTTCCGTGCTTTTGTGTGAAGGTCCTCTGCTTGGAGTTCCGTGTCTCATTTCTTTGTGTGCTGTTCAGCAACTTGCAGCCAGAAATGGTTGCGGGACATTGGTGTGGCTCTTTCGGAGGGTACTGATTTTGGTTCAGCGGAAGACCCATCATTTATTCGTTTTGGGTTGCTATCGCAGATACCTCGGCTTGGAAAGGCTCGTACGCACTTGTTGTCCAGGAGCCTGAAGATGAGTCCGATGCAGGCGCGGGGAAAGCGGAGATTGCGGTTTGGGGAGCTTGTGCCGGCCGCAAAGCAGCAAGCGCTGGAAAAGCGGCCCGAAAAAGGGTGCGCCCTTAGCCATTTAGCTTTTTCGTGTTTAGTGGTAGTTTCCATTTCACCCACTAAAGTTAAACTTTTAGCGGGGGATCTGAGGGCAGCCCAGAGTAGTGTGATTGGTTTAGTATTGCTTCACAGCCATACCTGAGAATCCCCATTCGACTTCCATGTTCTGAAACAAACGTTTTATTATTATTATGATGTCCCTTGTTCGTTCTATAGGGAATCGGTGTCACTTCTGGACATATGTTCTCATTTTGTTCCGATGGCGAAACAGCAAATGGAATGTATAGAATGCGGACTGTGCGCCGGGCTGTTTGGTAGTCAGCGGGTTTGAAGCTTTTCATGCTTCAAACCATGGGGGGGTGTGGACCCAGGAGAGTGTTCAGTCGTGTACCAACAAACGTGCTACATACCTGAAAAGAAAACACTCTCGAACATTGCTTGACATTTCTCATAACATTTGCAGACATTGCTGTATAACGAGCGAACCTGGGGGCAACACGTAGGAGATTCCTTATCTCCGGCTTGACCTTGGGGTAGTCAAAAAGTGGAACCCTGCTACCCGCCAGGTGGGCGGCTCGCTTTTGGAGTTGGTTCCCCCCTTTGGTGGTTTAAAGGAAAACCAACAGGACGACCGAAATCCATTTTGGGGGGTCTCTGAAAGAAAACGAAGTGCCACTACCACGTCAGGAAAAAACAACTGACATCCGATAGGTAGCTCCGCAAGCCTCTTTGTTTAGAAGCAAATCGGGATACCCTCAGCTCCGGAACTGGTTGCTGTTGATCCCTCTGCAAAAAGTTTTTTTTGGGGGGGGCTTTAGTGGAAAACCCTTCATTTCCCAAAAAGTTAAAGTCTAAACATCCAGCTAGGCCAAGCAGCCAACCACCTTGCCGTTATCTCCGACATAGAACTCAATCATTTGCTTGTTCATGTTAAGACTTTGTGCACGCCAAGCAAATCGGACAATTGTAAGACTTTTATGCGCCCACGTGTAATTCACAGGCCGGAAGCAAGGAATGAATGCACCACCTCGCCTATCAAAGCGAGTTGGAATCACTGTGTTCGACATGGAGTCCAATGATCTGCAAGAATATGTGTGCAATGGGTCTCATTCTATCGGAGCAAGTTACTGGAATTCAGCTTAAACAGAGTGGGTCATACCCCCCAAAACTGGAGCCCCTAATTTTCAGTCTAGCTTGGGCTAGTCCAAAAGCGGGCACCTGGCGGGTTGGTGGCCCAGGGCCATTTCCTCCCGCGCTTTCCGCGCGAGTCGCGTGCGCGAGGCGAGCGAGGCCTGGCTCGGTGCCTCGGCGCCTACGCGGCGGCGGCGCGCTGCGCGGGCCTGGCGTTGGTGGAAGGCGCGGCGAGCGTCGTGGCCGTCGAACCTCGTGGCGCGGGAGGTTTCGTCCCCGCGGGGGGGGGGGGGGGGGGGTGAGGCCCACTGCTGGTACCCTGTGGTAGTAGAGGTCGTTGATTTGGTCCCTGGATCTATTCCGGAGAGAATCCAATATGCCACTGTGGATGATTGGAGGATGGATTGTCCCTGGTGGATTGTCTTGTGGATAATCCTGTAAGCGGCCTGCTAAGGTTCTTTTGCTTCACGCGATCATGAATGATGCAATGTTACACAAAAGGGGCCTTGAGCCAAATGTTGCAGGAGATCAAGTGTTCAGTAAACCAAACACCAAAATGCAATTCCTACTGCAACCAGGTCCTTTCCACTATCTAACTGGCTCTTTGGTTGCGGCGCGCGCAAGCAAGCCGAATGCTGTGAAGCAGGGCGCAGCTGACAAGAAGCCGCTTCGCCTACACGTTTAACCAAATCTTTCACACCTATGCCATCAGAGCGATTCCTAAGCGAATCATGCCAAAAATTACGCCGGCAATGCACTGTGGCATATCAGCATGCAGTGATACACAGGCAACACCCTATGCAGCAAGCTGCAATTATCGTTCAAACGTCATAGTAGTTGCAACAAAACACTGCAACAAAATGCTGGTGTGTTGAGGCGGCTGCAAGGGCAGAGCAAGATGTTGCCATCGAAGCGTCAGCCAAGGCCCGTGTTCTTAGTTGTATTATGCTCACACTTGGGCACTTCAATGGCGAGCAAGCGATACGCTTATCCGCAAACGGACCTTTTCGTGGCCTTTCAACCACGTCATTCTTTACATGCATCTCGATGTTACGGTTGAAATGTTTCCAGATATCTTGGGCAAGAAAATGTTTGGCCTCTAGAACGCTCTGGTCGATCTGTCTCATGGACGATTTTGTCGGGTCCTTGGGGCAACCACGGCGGGGCGCCTGCCGGAAACATCGTGTTAGTCATAAACAAAGGTCAGGCGAGAGCAGGCCAAGTCAAGAGTAAGTGCTTGCACTCGCAAAGGGCGAACTTCCTTCTGAAACGTCAACTTCCGGTTCTGGCCTGGAAACCAGTTCGAGAATTTGAGGACAGCTAGGCTATCATGCTACAGCTTCGGTTATTCAGGGCAAGCTTGCCAGCAAGTCCGAAATGCAAGTCCATTGCGCCAGTGACGTCATGCTTTAAGCAATCCCAGCTTGCGCCAACAATGTTGCGCAAATTAAAGCAGCAAAGCAAATCGCTGCCTCAGCTTGAATTGAACTACCGCATCATGACTGAGCGGGCCTGCCAAAGTGGTTTTACCGCTTGGTGGCTAGCAGCTGCGCCATATGATACATATGCGCAAGTATGGATGAACATGCGCAGGATCTCTGCTCTTTGAACGGCCAGTGGCTTCGCGACAACCTTCATGAGTAGCGCCCTCATCGTGCAAGCAAGCGCCGACCCAGTGTAGGCTGCAGATTTCAAGCACTGTTTGTAGGAGGAGCCGCAAAAGGCCACCAGTCAACAAACCAAGGTGCTGCTTAGAACTGGCGATGGTAGCTGGCGAAGTAAGCTTCTTGGTAACCACATGCACTTGGCAGAAAATTAGGTTGCCGGTCGGATGAATTTGGCTTGCTGGCGATGATGTATTTTCGATGAATTGGCTGGCCCTTTGGCTGCCTGAGCATGATGAGTAGCCCAGTGGCTTTGGCTAGGGGTGATTGGAAGCCAAAATGGCTTCGCTGGGGGTGATTGGTAGCCAAAATGGCTTCGCTGGGGGTGATTGGTAGAGAAAAGGGCTTCGCTGGGGGTGATTGGTGGCCAAAATGTTATGGCTCGGGGTGATTGATGGCCAAAATGTTTTGGCTGGGGGTGATTGGTAGCCAAATAGGTTTGGCCAGGGGGGATTGGTAGCCGAGGGGTGATTGGTAGCCAAATAGGTTTGGCTGGGGGTGATTGGTAGCCAAATAGGTTTGGCTGGGGGTGATTGGTGGCCAAAAAGCTTTGGCTGGGGGTGATTGGTAGCCAAAAAGTTTTGGCTGGGTGTGATTGGGTTTCCAGAAACCCCGTCACAATCTGCCAAATGCACTTGGCCAGCCAGGGCAGTCAATCAACGTCGGGACAAGGGGGACGGAGCCAGAATTGTGATTGGGTTTCTAGAAACCCAATCACACTGACAAAGCCAACTAAGAAATCAATCATCCTACGACCTGTGCTATTTGGATCCCAGAGTGATTACAATGCTTTTTAACTGAGAAATTGTGATTGGGTTTCCAGAAATTGTGATTGGGTTTCCAGAAACCCAATCACAATTCTGGCTGCGCCCGCCTTGTGCCGGCGTTGATTGGCTGCCCTGGATGGCCAAGTGCATTTGGCAGATTGTGACGGGGTTTCTGGAAACCCAATCACACCCAGCCAAAACTTTTTGGCTACCAATCACCCCCAGCCAAACCTTTTTGGCTACCAATCACCCCCAGCCAAACCTATTTGGCTACCAATCACCCCAGCCAAACCTATTTGGCTACCAATCACCCGCAGCCAAAACATTTTGGCCATCAATCACCCTCAGCCAAAACTTTTTGGCTACCAATCACCCCCAGCCAAAACTTTTTGGCTACCAATTACCCCCAGCCAAACCTATTTGGCTACAATCACCCCCAGCCACAACATGTTGATCAATGACCCCCAGCCAAACTTTTTGGCTACCAATCACCCCGAGCCAAACCTTTTTGGCTACCAATCACCCCTGGCCAAACCTATTTGGCTACCAATCACCCCCAGCCAAAACATTTTGGCCATCAATCACCCCGAGCCATAACATTTTGGCCACCAATCACCCCAGAACGACGATCTCCCTTGTCTCGGCCATGTCCGTGGACAATGGTGCGTGCTGGCAATCTCGGTCCAATGTACTTCTTGGATTCAGTAAACATGGATGGTCCTGTAGTTGCCAAGCAATCCGAGGTCGGAATTTCGTATTCGGGATCAGTGCAACTTCCTTCGGTTCCGAAGAAACATCTGAACATTCCGAATGTGGTTCCCCAATTCTGGCTCTTGGTGGAAATGTGTCTTGCCAGAAGTTCCGTCCGCCACGGACAAAGCATGCGTCGGTCTGGATGACCATTGCTTGATCACGATGCCCTTGTACCCGAATCGGATGAACGCCTTGATGAGCTCCCTGGATTTCTCATCATTAGGACTCAAGAATGCGTCTGCTTCATTCAGGCATAAGATGTGTGCGCTGTTCTGCATCATCATCTTCACGATCGTTCGATCCTTCATCGGCATGTTGTACACCTCCCTGTTGTCCAGCTTTGGATTCCTCGTGAGGTTTCCATGGTTCAGGGTAAGCATGTTGATCGCTATGGATGAGGTGAACTCATGCATCTTGAGATAGTCCACAGGAGGACGGTCGGTCGGTTGCATCAGCGATCCCAGGATATCGGCATAGGCTCGGATGATTTCCGGGTCATCGTGTGACCTAAGCTTCTGCAATCCAAGTGGAAGCTTAATCGGATATCCGTTGCCTGGTGAGCTTGCTTGTACTCGTCCATGGTGGGACATTCTCCTCGATGAGGGAAGTAGAATTCTTCTTCTCCGAGATTGACATCGGGATCGACATGTGCCAATGAGGCTCTCTCGCACTCTGTCAAGTTGGGATGAGCTCTTCTTGGATCTTTGTTGTACTTGTTCATGAAGCGGAGGAGGTTTGCCTTGGTCTCCGCGAGCTCTTCCACTGCGTCCTTTTTGTTCAAATCTGTTTCGAGATAGATTCCCTTGAGTTCTTGGATGAACTCGTCTAGGTTCTCTGAATTATGATATTCCACGGTGACCTCTGGCTTGACGGATCTTTCCCCGGAGGGTTCCATGGTCTCTTCTTCAGCTTCGTCCTGATCGGAGGAATGCCGTCTCTTCTTGGTCTCTGAGGAAGTATCTTTTTCCTTGCTGTGCTTTGTGGAATTCACATAATTGAAGAAGGCATCGGCAAATTCGCGGATCTTGGTGTCGTACATCTCGTAATCTTCATAACTGAGATGCTTCTTCATGATCCACTTGTTGCTCGTCATGAGGCTGCCACCAGGTTCAAACGCTGCAACAATGTTTCTTGCCTCGATGATTTTGTCTGTCAACGCTGTTCGCTCTTCGGAGAGTTGGATGCCATAGTCTTGGTCCTTGAGGAATGCAAGGATCAACAGTGCATCTCTTCCTGCTGGCACATGGGTCAATACGGCTTCTGACTCATCGTCGTCAAGGATGACGTCATCGATGCATGCCATGTGGACGTGCATTCTCCCCGAAGGGTTTGACTGGCATTTCCCAGATTTGAGCCCGTGCTCCATGATGCTGAAGAGCTGATTTCCATAGGTTGCATGGAACATGAATGTGATGGGCTTCTTCGCGAACGGCTTGATTTTTCTTCTTCTTCAATGGATGGTGGTGCCGGCCTTCGCATTCTATGCTTGGGCTGAGCTGTGCTTTCATCTTCATGAGGCGCCTCGGATCTTGACGGATGCGGACTTGGTGGAATGGATTCCGTTGGGAGATCATAGTCCGGTTCGTCGTGTTGAGGCTCTTTCTGCTGCTCAGAGTACAGGGGTCGTCCAAAGGATTGGGTCTTGACTTGTCGTGTGTGTCCGCTATTGCATCTCACATAGAACTCGCTCGGGAACATAGCCATCAAGAGAAGTCCTGGCTTATTTCCAATGAAGTTCCTGGCATGTGTGACGCAGGTCAATGCGTCATAGAGCTCGACGGATCCATCAGGACCCATGTCCACTTGTCGTCTGCATTCCTTATGGATTCCATGCCTTGGATCATGTCGAAGACATCCGGAAAATGATCTGCTCATTCTCTCAATTCGCCAGAGGATGAGATCTGTGATCTGTTTCGCCTTGGATGGATCCATGCGGAAGTATTTGCAAACCTGTTCGACATTCTGGACGGTCTTCTCGAGATCAATGTTGCCGTTGTGGCACACCATCGGGATGATGTCGGTTCCGTAAACTTCGGATTGA